GAAAATTGCTTGTGTTTTCAAATCTTCTTCCTACTGCTAAATATGCCAGTGTTTTCCCTTTCTTCTTCCTTCACAAAATTTTATAAATTAAGTCATTTCACCAGTTGTTAACTTAATAATAACTTATTTATATACCATTTTTCAGTGACCCAAAGCTTTATATATATTCTCATTCGATCTTCACAACCATAAATAGAAAAAATATTTTGTCTATTTTATAATGAAGAAATCTGTAACAGTTCAATGGACTGTAAATGAGTCACAGAATCTTAGAATTTTAGAGCTGGACAGGACCAGGTTCATCTAGCCCAACCCTTTCATTTTACAGATAAGGATATTTTATTAAGCTACAATGTAAAGCTCAAACAAATAGTGTCCAACAAATAGTTAATCATTTTACACCACAAGATAACCACTTGGTTTCAGTTTTTTATTTCTGTTTCTTTAGTTTTCAAAAGATTAAATTCTCTTCAACAGGAATGGTGCAGAAGTATGCAGAAGCACTCACTCTCTTAACAGAAGGGTGGATGATGGCCTCAAGATGCAGAATTAAACATATTTTTGGACTTGGCAAATGTGTGGATTTGTTTTGTTTGACTATGCTTATCTATTACAACAGGTGTGTTTTTTTCTATTGACGGGAGAGGAAAGTTACCCAGAGTTGCCTCCCCCAAAAAAGAAGAAAAGATGATTATTGAAGCATTTTGTTTTTAGTGCACAGAAGAGAAAGGAAGGAAGTTCAGAAGGAAATATAGACAAGGACAGCTTTGAAAATAACATACTGCATTCATTACATATCTTAACAGCAAGCTTGAATAGTAGAGACTGATGTTTTCACAGATAATCTTTCTTCTATACTATCTTACATATGAAAATGATTTTGGCGTGCTGTTAAATTCAAAATACTTAAAAATAAAATTTTAAAAAGAATGACCTTTTTATTTCATATAACTTTGGGGGCTTGAGAAAAATTCTGTGTCAGTATCATATATTTTATAAATATAACTTGCTACTATGTGCTAAAAACAGATTTTTTTGCTTTACTTCACTTAACTCCTCATTCACTATGTTTTTAACACCCTACAAGACAAAGTAGGGGAAAAAACCCACTATTTTTAAATTTCCCAATATGTTCTATATTTTAAGAAAATTTTTTTAAGGATAGAGGAAATTGGTAGAATATATAGAAAAACCAACAACTGGTTTAAGGATTAGAAAACAGAATGTATGAGGAAAAGTTTAAAAAAAACTAGAATTTCATTTGCTAAGAATTGACTTTATCAACTTCATGTATAGGAAGCATTGTTATAAAAAAGATAATGTCTAGATCTCCATCTACAGAAAAAGATGCATTAAACACACAGTAAGATAAATTTATATTAGATATTAAAACTTGACAAGTGAATCAGATTCCTAAGTCATTATGGAATTCTTTCCCTGAAGATCTTTGAGAAGAAGCAAGCATCCATATAAGTACAGCCATCCACTTAAATCGGGGTTCAGGTCCCCATACAAGAAGAAAGGCCCAGACCATTCCAGTTTATGAGGAGAGTAAAGATATAAGAGTCAATCTACTAGGCAACACACACACACACACACACACACACACACACACGTATGTATATGTGTGTGTATATGTGTATGTGTGTGGGTGAGTGTATCTGTGTTTTATGTTGTAACCAATGGCTTAGAAAAAGTAAAGTTGATGCTATTTGTCTTTAAAGTCATACTACATTCAAAGAAATTATAAGGGGCCTACAGAAAACAACCTGTTTGTAAAAATCAATATTACATATGTTAACATGTTCATTATATTATAAAATCACAGAAGAGCTCAAACCTACATTTAAAATATTTAAATGTGAACACTGTCTCCTACTTCTTATTTTCTAATTTTGTTGCAAAGAATGAGTTGAGATTTGAGGCCATTTAGTTCAACCTGTAACCTAACAAGAACACTCACTACAATACTCCTACAAGTGGTCATCCAGGCTTCACTTGAAAACTTCTAGGAAAAAGATAGGTACAGGTGGCCAGGAAGACATGTTCTCCAGGTTACCCCACTCCACAAGTGGACAGCTCCAATTGTTAGAAAGTTTTTTCTTACATCAAGAAAAAATTTGCCTCCCTGCAAATTCCATCTACTATTCCTATTCTACCCTACAGGTCCAAGCAGAACAAGTCTCAACCACCTTACACAATTAAATACAGATTAAATACAATTAAATACAAATACATATATATGTGTATGTATACACACACACACACACACACACACACACACACACACATTAAATACAGCTCTCAACTCCCCACACCTCATACAGTTGTCCAGGCTAAAGAGACTCAGAGTTCCTTCTACTAATCTTTGTATGATATGGTCTCAAATAAGTCAAGTAACATATAGTTATGTAGGAGAAAGTTCTAAATTAAGTTTATGAAATTATATCTATTAAACATGGCTACTTTTAGAATTTAAAGTGAGTCAATATCATTATACTTGAGCCCTAAGTCACTACTTTTTGATTTAAAATTTAAGTTTTTTAATTCCATTAAGGATTACAAAAATTGCATTTTATTTCCATGGAGGGAAAAACAAAGCCCTAAGGCCTATGTGCTCAGGACAGGTATACTTTCAGAAGACAGTGGCATGTCAATCTTCCAAGCCTTTTGAGAGCCTTTAAGGTGTGTATATGAAAAAATAAAAAACACAGGGATTTCAGAATAAGGCAATGATGTGGTGGACTAAATTTCTGATTTTGTTTTTCATGATGGGTATTACAGATGGGTTACAAAATAACCTTACTGAACATTAAGCAGCAAAGGCAAGCTCACTGACAAAGCATACTGACTTCAAGCAATAAAGCAATGCTTCTCATAACATCTCAGTTGGGTTGGACCTAAGCAAAGAATGGATGACAGCAGGATACCCAAGCAGCTGTACCACAGTGAGCTGAAATGGAATAATCACAAGCAGTGAGGGCAAAAGAAATGCTTCAAGGAAGTACTGAAACTGAGCTTTAAGCAAAGGAGCATAGCTGTGACCTACTGTGAAACAAGAGTAGGAGACAGTGACTGAGAGGCCTAGCATGCAGTTATGATATATAATGAAAGTTGCTTTTCTTAAGCAAAGGCTTCAGATCAACTTGGAGTCCAAGAGTTGGTCTCCCAATCATCAGGTTCTTCAAACAGCAAAAGGAGCTACCAAGCAAAAATTATACTTCAAGTGTTCCTAGTGTGTAAAGGACTGTTTGTTACATGTTTATCCTTTCAGCCACCATTAGAAGCATTGCCTCTGGAGATGTTTGAGGATGTCACCATCATCAGACCTCTAGGCCCAGTGATAAGAAGAATAAAAAAGTAGTTCTTTATTAAAAAAAAAAAAAAAAAGACTGGGGGCTCTGAATTACTGTAACACAAAACATAATAAGAACCAATATGTATATTCCATAGGTTTTCAATAGTTAGCTTTGTCCTAGATTAAAAATTTTATCTAATCAAAACCATTTGTAATGAAAAATAATAAAATTATACCAAATGAAGTCAAAATATTCTTCTCCTAAAATCTTGGCTTTTCATAGAATATTCATAGAATTTCAAAACTTGAAAGGGGTCTTCATGAAAATCTTGTTATTTTATAGATGAGGAAATTGAAGCCCAGCAGGATTAAGTCACTTGGCCAAGATCACAAAGCTACCTAGAACCCAGACCTTCTGATTCCAAGTCCAGTACTCTTTCTACTATACCATACTACCTCTCTCCTTCTATGGCATAATTTTTTAAGCTAACTATGGACAATCTCAGACCCCACTAAGATATATCCCCTCTACCTATTATTCACATAATAATAGTTCACACTTATATAGTACTTTAAGGTGTGAAAAGTATTTTACATTGCAGTATCATGCTTATTCTTTCAACCTTGTGAGCGTGATCCTATTATTTTCATTTTACAGGTGAGGAAAATGAAGTACTGAGAATTGACTGGCCCCGGGTCAAACAGCTCATAAGGATCTAAGGCAGGATTCAAACTCAGGTTTAATTGTTGAAATGGGAAAGATCAATAATCAATGCCTTGAGTGTTTTGTTTTATAATCATTTATTAGCTGTAATTATGCTGAGAGAATAAGAAGTAACTGTATGATTTACAGGAAGAATATAGACCCAGATAAAAACCTATGTATAACCAAACTAAGATGTAGTTCCTGGGTGGTTCCTGTGTTAATTAACCTTAGAAGTGTAACTAAATCATTATAAAGTATGTATCTTAAGTGTGTGACCATAATAATAATACCTATATATTAATCTTTTATCAAAATGTAGTCATTTGCCCTGAGCTTCTGATTTAAAAGGGTCTTGTTTTTAACAAGAGCCTGCTTTAGTAAAAGGACACTGATTTGCACAATAGCAAGTCCTTTTTCACCATACATGAATAACTGAATACTATAAATAACTGAATTTTGTATCTTGGGGTCTCAGACCATACTGGGAGGACTGTAGACTCCACCTTGTTTTTCTTAATAAAGGTTGGTTTCTTTGCCCAGAAAGGCTTCCCAGTTTCTTTCTTACATTGTTAAGACTAGTACTCTATCCCCCACTATGCCACAACACCTCACTTACTGCACGATGTCTAAAATTCAGATTCACAGGCTACATAGTCTCCTACTTCACAATGAGATAAAATTTGAAATATTTCTCAGGGAAAATAATAACTAAAATTCACTCAAGTAGGACAAATCAGATCCTCTGGAGAAGAGAAAGCCTTAATAAGAAGGCACTTAAGAAGAAGAAGGAAAAAGGAGGAATAACAGGAGGAAAAGATACACAAAGGAAAGGCTTTGGGAGGACAAAGATGAATTTAGTTAAATTCATAATTTTGCCAAGAGCCAGCTCTTGTACCAAAAATAACAATTAAGGACAGTTGGATAAAAAGCCACATATAAAATTATGAGCAATACTATTAAGATAAAACCTGATAACAGGTTTTGCTCCAAACTTACTTTCTCCATCACCATCTTTATCAAATTCTTCTATCATTGCTCGAAGCTCTTCATCACTCATGTTTTCACCCAACTCTCGAGCAACCCGTCGCAAGTTTCTCAAGCTTATTTTGCCTGAATCATCATCATCAAATAATTTAAATGCTTTCAGTATTTCTTCCTGTGGATCTCTGTCCAAAATCCAGTCCGTCACTAAAGTTTAAAAAAAAATTTTAAAGAATTTTTAACTTTTAGAATGAAGATATTCTACTACAGTTGTATACCAAATTTTACATTACAGACCTTTTCTTTGTTATCCATACAAATCAGTAAGATCAACTATGATCATTCCCTATCTATAGCTGGAGAACTAAAATTTAGATAGTTAATTTCAGAGTTCCATAATATATGTATATTTTTTATAAAAGATCCTATTATAAAATCAAACTATATAGTTGCTCTAAGGGATGGAGTAGTATTTATTGAGACCTGATTATTTATCAACCCTGATAATCAATACAATGCATACAAAAACATAAGACATGCTTCCTGCACTGAAGGAGTTTACACTCTAGTTTTAAAAGTAGAACAACCACAAAACAATTCAAAAAAGTTAAATAAAAAGCTATTTTTTAGCTAAAACTATTATTATATCTCAACATTTTCATAATTAAAAGTCACATTTATTTAATTAGATTAACTAGTTTGGCTAATCTTTTTTCACTTAGGCTACTAATATTTTTTCACTTTAACAAGTTCTTTGCATTGAAAGAATCAACCAGTGTCAGTAGGTTAGATACATACACATATAGCTTGGGTTAAGCAACAACAGATGACTTCATCCTGTTCATGTCACTGTGCTTTGAAGAGCCACATACTCTAAGAAATAGGAAATGACTCTCTTCTCCTCCCCCCTTAATAGAAAATGTGACTCGGAATCCAAAATGAGGAATACAGTTATGGCAAAGATTTGCAGGAAGCTGAGAAAATAGAAAATATGTCTATAGCACACCCAAGTTGCTCAGGAAGGAGGCTCTACTAATTTACGTATATGTAAAACATCTAAGTTCATAAATTCTAAAACTATTTGTAAAACTGGATTAGTAGCTCATTCTAATTAACAAGATAGTAACTCAAGAATCTGATTAAAAATAAGCATATGAATTTTATGAAGTTTTAATCATTTTTACAACTGCCAAATCATTATTATTTTTTGAACTTGACCTAGGATTTCATTGGTATAGGAATTCCCAACAAAGAAATCCCTCCCAAGGCAGAAGTACCTGTCTGCAACTTACTATCTTAACATAGTTTTCTGGCACACTGCCACCTTAAAGTGGCTTACTCACAATGTGTCATGAACCCAGGTCTTCGTGACCTGGGCCCTCTGTCTTTTTGCTACACCCTACTGCTGCTCATGCCAAATTATATTACTGCAAAATTTAAACATGAATTTCAGCTGTAGCTTTCAAAAAGTATTTTGTTTAAATTGCTTCAGTCGTGTCCAGTATGAAAACTTTAGTTTACATTTTATTGGTTGTTTTATCTTTCACATCTGTCATTAAACACACTAATCAGAACTGGGATAAATTTGTGGTGTGAAAATATTTTACTTCATACACAAAATTTTGAAATTGTCAAAACAAACATCTCTGATTTCTACCTATTAGTCTACACACTATATATGGCTATGTATTTTGGACTTTCATTGTGCACATTAAAAATAACTCACTCTTGAGGGGATTTATAGAACCAATAAGAATGTGTTATTGTATAAGGAAAATACTGTGATGCTTAGTGAACCAAAAAAAATTAAAATTTGAGTGCCCTACATTCTCATTATTGTTTTACTGATAATTTCTATCCTTATTTAGTTGGATAAGCTTTTTTTAAAAAAAAAAAACCTATTCATGTTACATTTTATCACTTAAGCATTTATTAGTTTTCTTTTTCCATCAATTTAAAATCTTTTGTCAAACATGTCTTCCAAAAAACTAATTGAAGTATATTACTATAAATACGCAGAACACCAAAGCTCATAAATATTCAATCAAAAAGAAGTTGGCATGTATACAACTAGAACACTAAAATAAAATTACACATTTAACTATGTGGCACATACTCAACTTTTAAAAAAAAATTTCCAACAAAAAGCAGAACAGGAAGAAAAGGAATGTTCTTGCCCAATTAAATAATTTACATGACAGGTGAATCACAAAAGCAGCTTGCCAAAAGTAGTAATGTACTTATAGAAGCAACAGGGTGATTTTGGGAACAGATGGGAATCCAAGACGTATAAATTCTTATCCCAATGTTGTTTTAATGGTGTGACTCTGTAAATTATTTAAGTCTTCTATATCCACATAATCCTTTTACAAATGTTCTGTTTGAAGTGTGGCCATACTTGATTAACTAGGAATTGATACCTAAGCATATATGTTTATTTTACATAGCTAAGATTTTTAGGTACATGATCCTAGGTGTTCTAACTGATTTATAATTTGGCTTCTTCTACCATTAAGTAAGATCTTAATTAGGATGATATTATGCTTATCAATGAAAATAAGAAAATTATTATGAAGAACTGACTAAATATTTGTTGAAGTAAAAGAGACTACTCCCCTATGGGCTAATATAATTTCATCTTCATTACATAAGAATTTTTTCAAAATCAAGAATAGAAAATGACATAATATATGGCAATAACCTACAAAACAATTCGATGGAAAAACAGTCCAGACTTCTTTAAGGTATTCAATTCAGCAACTACTTATTGACTCTCTGTCTGCAGAGGACTTAGATACTCAGCGAAAAATTTAGATCAGACTCCATTCCTTTTCCCTAATGGGGCTTATAATGTATTATTATTATTATTATTATTATTTTTATTATGTCACATGTTTGTCACTGCCATGAATGGTAATGCCACCCTGAACCTAAACAGAAAAGGAATTCCCTATTAATGAAAAAATAAGCAGAAAAATCTACCTGCTGTCCAGATTATAATATACAGCTGGATGGACAACAGATAGAACTCATTCATCAATACATACATCTTGGAGAGACAGTTCAAATGTACAATGCGCAACCCAGAATTAGACTAGGAAAAGAATGGGCTAGATTTCCATTGGGGAACTGCACAATTTTAATTACCCCTATGCTTCTCTCTGAAACAAAAGTCAATTTTTTTGAACACCAATATTCTGGTGATAATATATATATGGCTGTGAATCATGATATATTACACTGTCCAAAGAAATGAAGATAAGGATCACTCAAAGAGCAACAGATACATGTACAGTGGGTGTCAGTAGACTGAACCATGTGACATTACGCAAAAGGCATGTAAGGGAGGTCAGAGAATAATAATAGGTAACATTTATATAGAACTTTAAAGTTCACAAAGTTCTTTATATATTTTACCTCATTTGATTCTCCCAACAACTCTGTGAGGTAGGTGCTATTATTATACCATTTTACAGATGGGGAAACTGAGGCTAAAAGAGACTGACTTATCCAGGGCCACATAGCCAGTAATATATCAGGTAAGATTCAAACTCAAGTCGTCCTTACTCCTAAGTTATCTATTTAATGTACCACCAGCATAGCCAGGAAAAAAAATGGATAGATCACATAACTAGAGTGAGGGATAACCACTGGACAGCCCACATGCTATATATATGTGATATCAGGAAAACATAAAGAAGGCCCCTGACAGGCTAGATGAACCATTTGTGCTAAGTGAATAAGATGACAGACAAAAATTTAAACACCTCTATACCTTGGAGGTCATGCTTTTCCTTATTCTAAAATGTTCACCCACCTGACTTGTCAAATTGCTATCCTTTAAAGTCCAAATGGTACAGTGGATAGCATGCAGGGCCTGGAGTCTGGAAAACTATTTTTCCAGAGTTCAAATCTCACCCTAAGACACTCACTAGCTGTGTGATCCTGGACAAGTCACTTAACCCTGTTTGCCTCAGTTTCCTCATCTATAAAATGATCTAGAGAAGGAAATGGCAAACTACTCCAACACCTTTGCCAAGAAAACCACAGAATCATGAAGAGTTGGACATGACTAAAAACATGACTGAACTGAAAAGTCCAACTAAAGTACCACTTTGGAATTCCAAGAAGCTTTTGCTTCCCTTTCCAACCTCAAATAGTGCTCTGTTTATATTTTAAGGTATAGAGGTAGCTAAATATATGCTAAGTATAGAGAACAATGAACAGTACAATTTTTTCTAGTACTTAAGTACGTAAGAAAAGAGCAGTATAAAATAAGGATGGAATTGTAGAACAATTTAAGAAACACAGGTAATGTGATATAAATGGAAAGAACACTGGGTTTACAAAAAGTAGACACAAATTCTGGATCTGAAACTTCTTGGTGTATAGACTTGACCAGCAAGTCAATTAACTTCTGTGAAATTAGAGGATTGGACTTTCTCTAAGAACCCTTCCAGGGTCTATACTCTTCTTTTGTTTTGTTTTTTGGGTTTTTGTTTGTTTTGGGTTTTTTTGCTTTTTGGTGAAAAAACTAGGGTTAAGTGACTTGCTCATGGTCACACAGCTAGTAAGTGTCAAGTGTCTGAGACTGGATTTGAACTTAGGTCCGCCTGACTCCAAAGCTGGAGCTCTATCCATTGCGTCACCTAGCTGCTCCCAGTACCTATACTCTCAAAAGATTTTTGAAGAGAGGAAATGTGATCTATGCATGAGAAAGATGTCTGGCAGCAAAGTGAGGAACAAGAATACAATCGATGAACTGAGAGCAGAGATCAGAAAACCTATTAGAAGGCTACTGCAATAACAGTGGCAGAATAAAATAATGAAGGCCTATGCTGTAGTAATAACAGTAATAATAATAATATGTAAAGAAGAATTATGTTTTCCAAAGTACTTTTCTCACCACAAATTTATGAAATAAGTAATATAAGTAATGTAATGAAATAAGTAATGTAAGTAAGTAATGTAAATGTTATTATTCCCATTTTAAAATCAATGCTAAGCAAGGTTACATTACTTCTCAAGGGTCACAAAGCTGTAAGTGACTGAGGTGGGATTTGAAGCCAAGACTCACAACTTTCAGTTCAGCACTTTATCCACTGGGCCACATGGTAACAGTCAATAAATGGATACCAGAGACTAGAAAGAAGATTCAAAGATTAAAAACATTAAGGACTAAATGAATGACAGAAATAGTGAAGGTA